TACTAACCCTCTTCTCTTTTTTTAACTGACATATCCATTCGTTCCCTAGGCTTTCTTAACTTGTTTAACTCGCTCCAAAAATTTTTCTTATTTTCAATAAAATTACTGTCTAAATATTGAAATATGCATTTACATACAAGTACATACTGACACCCATCACACTTAAGTTCATTGTACATCCCAGTACTATATTTAGTACAGGTACAACCCCCCGATCACACAATAAAGCTTGTTTTTGTGTACAAATACATTCATGACAGACTACACAAGGCTGTTTTACTTTAATGTGCTTCCATTCCAATCCTCATGTAATAGCAAAATTCACATGCACATTTCATCAAACTAAAAGAAAGTCTCATTAACAGTCAGATATCTGAGTAAACATTTCATCCTCCTCACAGGTAGTCTATGATGGAGGCTTAGTCTGTCCATTCAAGGAGCCATGCTGGTTTTATATTTTAACAAGTTCAGAAAAAAGAAGAAAAAAATTTGTTTAAAAATTTTTGCATTTACAGAATACTGTAGCCAAGATATTCTCTAAGTGTTTTAAACGCACAGCCAGTGACTTGGCTGAACTCATTACATGTTACATTTAGACATTTAAGTCCATTTAAAGTCTGTTCCTGTTTTCCCTTTTAATACCTAATTTTCTAGGACTATTGTGTATCCACAGAACATCTGTTGAGTGCACAATAAATTAGTCACTTTAGTGGCAAAATCTTAATCTAAGTTGTCCCAGCAGATGTCTCTAGAATAGTAAATTATGTCCCATCAAATGTCTGTATAATAATATGAGTTATGTCCAATCAGGTGCCTGTAGGGTAATATGAATTATGTCCCTTCAGATAGGTCTCTAGAATAATGAGTTATCTCATCAGATGCCACTAGAATAATATAAGTTATAATGTCTCATTAGATGCCTCTAGAATAATATAAGTTACAATGTCCCACTAGATATCTCTTGGAATAATTTAAGTTATAATGTCCCATTAGATGATTGGATAAATATTAATTGTATACCTTGGATGGCTCTGAACTAATATTAGTTATGTCCCTTGGATGTGTCTGAATTAATGTGAGTTATATCCTATTAGATTTCCAGATTAATATCAGTTATGTAATCACCTTTTATTACATTTTGTTATTTATACTTCATAACCTTCTGAGGAAGCTTTTCTTTACCATTCACAAAGATTATTTTTTATTTTGTTTAAAAATGTTCCAATGGCCTGAGCACCAACTAGTGTGTGCTCAGTGCACAGACAACCTGTGTATGTCCTGACTCAGTACCCAGACAACTTGTGCATGCCCTGATGGATGTGATAGGCCTCTGTCATAAACAGTGATCATCTTACGTGAGGAAGATGTGCATTTCAAATGTCAGAATAGTCGTAGTATTGGCAATGCAGTACAGTACTGTATTTCCATGTCTGTATGTGTTTTAAATTTGCAAACTCTTGCCATGTTGTCTGTTGTATCCAGTATAGTGTTGTGAGTTCTGTAAAACAGTTTTGCTAAACTTGTGTGACAATTTGTAGTTGAACTTGTGGGAGTAATGTCACAGTGGCTTGTCCCTAGTCTAAGGATTTTTTTTATTAGCATAAATATAGTATTTAATAATAATAGTCTTGTAGTGATTTAACATATAACTGTAATGTGACACATAACTAGTAATGCTTTAGAAATTACTGTAATGTAGTGTTCATGTAGTGCCATGTTGGTAATGAATATGAAACAGTGAAGAAACAAACAGTAAAGTGTAAAAAATAAAACACTTTTAATTTTAGCAGCAAATATGTAATGTTGCTGTTTTGCAGGAAGATTTTAGCAAATATTATTTGAACTATTTCTGTCAGCCGAATTTAATAGGAACATTATTTATTGCAGTAGGGTATGTTTACATGAACTGTAAGCTTGCATATGCATGGGTATAGCAAGGAAGCAACTCTTGCAACAGTATTTATACTCTGTCTTAGCTAAAGGTAAATATTTGATTTACTACATTGTTGAAAAGTGAATAAAGAAATATCCTAAACAAAATACTATTTTAATTATCGAAGAACTGAGATTTTTGCATTCATTGTGTCTAATATTTTATCCTATGTATTGAGTGTGGTATTTAAGGCTTATAAATTTTTCATATTTTATGACTGCTAATGCGTGTGTACTGCCACTGAAGCTTAATGCTCAATTGCATGCCTGCATTTTAATTTTTCTTTGTATGTTTTGCTGCTTAAAATTTTTACATATAAAAACTTTTTTTTTTTCAGAATTTAGGATACCTCCTGATATTAGGCTTCAGTGCCACACATATATATCAATATAAATTTATAGGAACTTAAGATTGTGTCAAGTGTTGACATAATTTAGTAAAATCCATTAGATCTAAGTATGATGATAGTTTTTTCACTGTTTTATTGTGTAATGTATTATTAAAAATAATAATTATGCAAATAATTGTAAAAATTAACAAAGAATGAGAATTGTTTGTGAAGTAATGATTGTTTAAGTTGAGTTGTACTAACATAGTAGTGAATGAGATATTAGTATATGTTATTCTCTTATATCTTGTATATGTCTCTTGTATGATAGTACTTTTTCCTCCATGATCAGCTGGTACTGAAAGGTATAAACTCAAATTAATTTCTGTAAGGAATAATTTTTTTACATGTAAATATTTAATATGAGGGAGAGCATGTGAAGTAAAAAAGATTATCATTTTCATAGTGTAGGTCAAAGTTGGTAATAAGGAAAAGACTATATATAATGTTTTGTACCAAATGCTTGTGGACATTAATTTTGTTGTATCTTGTCCCTGAATAATGACCAAGTACAACTGCATAGTTCATTGTGTTAGTTTTAAGGCTGTTAGCTGGTTTGGTTAGGAGTTAGTAACTTACGTAGGTGTCTTGAGAATTGAGAATTCTGTGGTACAGTTTTCAAATTTGAATAATTAATGAACATTATTTTAAACTAAGTGAGAGAGGGTCTTGATTGTTTTAGTCTCTTGTATTTACACTAGTACATATCTCAGGTTACTAGAGTGTAGGGTTGAGGTGACATGGTTATAGCTTATATGCTTCTTGGCCATTTACTTTGGTAGACAAGGACTTATTTTTGTCACATAGGAGGGAACAGAACTGAATAAACAAACCTTATTAAAATTAGGACTTATTAATGTAAGGGTAGGGAACAAGTGTAATAAACTGGGTGAAGAGGTAGTGAAAGCATTCTCCATACATGCATTTAAAAATAGAAAAGATTGAGAGCTCAAGGGGCTGTGAACTACCTTTGCCAGCTGTTTGAATTAAAAAGAGTTGGGACCAGGAGTTGGAGCTTCACCCCAGCAGGCACTGGTCACAGGACGCGTGTGTGCACACATGCACATGCATGAGCGGACAAATGACAAGCCAGATAATAGCTCCCAGAACTAAAAAACAAACAATATAATATATGAAGAAATGCTAAAAATGTTCAAAAAATCTTTTATTGACCAATAGAGAAAAAAAGAAATGTGATAATCATATAGTATAAGGTCATAGAAGGATACCATCAACAGGGGACAGACTAGGCCACAATTGTAAACTGAAAATATTGGTGTGACAAGATACATGTCATTTTTTTCTTTCTAGTTGTAGAAAAATAGAATGGTATACAAGAGCAAATACTAAGTGCTACAACTACTAAAAAAATTATAATTTAAACATGGAAGATGGGCTATCACAATCACAGGTCTGCTTCTGTAACTACAAATAGGTAGCCTCTCTCACTGAGGATAACATCATTGATAGGCATCTTTGCAAGCATGATTATAGCCTTGAAGAGAAAAACCCTGTATATAAATTCATTGCAGTTGGTAAAGCAGGTGCAAACACATCACATAAGGGACAGCACAAGCGTAGCTTTGCACATGTAACTATTCGTTGGAAATATCTTGCATACAGTTATGCACAGATTTATGGATATGTAAGTATATTTACCCATATGACTTTGTTGAGGATAGGAAGCTTTAGTCTTATTGAGGGAAATCTCATTAAAACTAACCAAGAGACTGATCATTCCCAGGTTATAACTCTTAGTAGCTGACTTACACATACTGATGGATGAACAGTAGCATTCTCTCACTCTGCCCTTTGGTTGGGATTACCTGTTTGAGTGTGGAGATAAACTTTTGCTCTTGGTCCCAAATCTTTACTTTCAACCTGACACAATTGAGCCGTATCATATGTATTACTGAATGGCATCTGCTTCTGCAGTGTCACTGTAGCCAACAGCACTGAACATTGTGCTGCAGTAAAATCTAGTTTAATATAGCAGCAACCTTCCAAAAAGATGAATTGTACAGTGTATGAAATTTGCTGAGAGAGGAAAGTGCTTGAATGATTTTAGACATTTTAAGTGAAATTGTGTATGGTTTTATATTGAATGTGCAGGTGAAGTTTCATGAAATTTTATGATTTAGAATTGAGATTTCATATAATGTTTGATGAATTCAAGGGATATTATAAATCGTAATTACAAATAATGTAGGTCAAGCAATGGGGGTCTAAAATGTCATGATGTCTGGAAAGAACTATGATCAAGCAAACTGTGTATGTGTTTTTTCAGTAATGTTAAGAATGATTTGATTATTTTTGTTTTTGTAAGTAGTGGAAGTACAGTACAGTAGTTAGTGATAGTAGGTAGTTTCATGTATCAGGTCATTAATCTATCAGATGTAAAATTCTTTTGATGTTATTTGCATCCATTAATTTTAAATGTTCTTCACTTGGAGTTATGTTGGATTATGTGATACAGTACTTACTTTTTTGTGATTTGAGTGTTTGTTTAAGAAAGATTTTGAGTTCATTGTCTTGTTGTGTGAAGTTAATGCTGGAGACAATAGATTATAAATTTGATACAGAAAAGCAGTTGTGCAAAACCACTGATGTTTAAAAGAATAAGACAAGTGTAATCAGAAATTTTAGAGAGAGAAACCAAGTAATTATTTGGCATTGCAGCTAGAGAAGATCTTCAGTACTGCCCGAAGAGATCGTCTAAATCGAGCCCTGGAGGGGGCTGTTAAGTCAAGTACCACAGGTAAGATACTATCCTAAGTCAGATCTTAATGATGGGTAATACAGTGGAGTTGCTGCAGTTTCTTATATGTCTCTCTCTCTCCTTAGCCTCCATGTGTATCCCATTTGGGTAGCTTGTATTGGTAATGACTGGATATGTGATAGTTATTCATGATTGTCTTACTTTATCTGTTAATATTTTTTTATTCTTATGCATTACAGGTTAGCCAGATTTAAATCCTGGAATTGGGAAATACAGTGCTTGCACTCTGAAAGAGGGCTGGGGATGGTGTAGTTGGGTTATCTGAATTGTAATATCGGCATGCTTCTGGCAAGACAGTGATTGAATGAGTGACAGTGAAAGTGTTTCCTTCTTTGTTGAGTCACCCTAGCTTGGTGGGAGATAGTTGGAGTGTTAAAAAATGTAATCACAGTACTGAAAGAAAATGTTTATATTGATTTTTTAAGTGTAATTTAGAGTTAAAATACTAATCCTGTGTATTTCAAATGAAGTTTTTTGTCTTTGTAGTATGTACCATATTTTTCCTTTAAATATAAATGGCCCTTGCAGGTGAAGATGTTGAAGTATTGGAAGATGAGCTACAAAAGAGTCATGTAGTGGACACCACGCTCTTACTCCACTTCTTTGGACGCAAGGGCAAGCAAGACCTTAAGTTTGAAGAATTTAAGATGTAAGTGCCTTACTGAAGTGTATTTGTCATGACAAGATACAGTACAAGGAAAAGGCAGGTGAAATTTATTGGTTCACAAAACTTGTAATCAAAACTAAACTGGGTATGTGTGTATTGTGTTGAGTTTATATAAAATAAGTAGTTATCTGGAGTGCATCTGGACCCTGAGAGTCTATTTGTTGTATTGTTTACTGTAACTTTTACCATTGTATCTGTTTTAGCTTAGTTAACCTTAAGTTAATTTTAAGCTTGCCCATAATGCTCTGCATACAAGGGGCTTTTCTCATGTACACCCAACTACTATAATTCCTTGTACAACTATGTATCATGTCTTAATAAACTATCTATCTATCTGTCTGTGCACCTCTGGCAAGACAGTGATAGTGTGAATAATGGGGAAAGTGTTTCTTTTTCAGGTCACCCTGCCTTGGTGGGAGATGACCAGCTTGTTAAAAAAAAAAGTCTAGTTATGATAGAGTTGGTTTATTTATCATATGTTTGCTGTATTTGTATTATGTTAACTATGTTAAATATAAAGTGACAATTTTGTATAGTTCATTGTCTGTCTGGTTGAATTGTTGCTTCCTGTATCAGTATTGTGCAGCTCACATTTAGTTTATAAAAAAGAAAACCCCCATGTAAGATAGTTATTTGCCAGACATTGTTTGTTATGCACAAGATATTTTATTATGAATATACATAAACTAAACACCAAATTTGTTTAATATAGGAGGGCCCTGCCCTACAGTGCTTCACTTTATGGTGTTTCATTAATGCAGCAGTTTTTAATTATACCCATTCTTTATTTATTCAGACTTCATTCAGTACATTTATTCACCATTCACTATAAACTAAGGATGAAAATATTATAAGGTAAGTATTATATGTACTGTATATGCATTTTTTAGACCTGGCTCTCTTGCTTACTTAGTGTATGGTAGTGTAAACATGTTATTAAGTTTTATATGCACTTGAAAATGAAAAAAGGTTAAGTTTCACTTTACAGCAATAACCCAGAACCTAACCTGCTACATGTATAAGCAGGGCCTGCCTGTATGCCAGTAAATTTAGCTAATTTGAAAAATTGAAGTCTTTTGCCCTAAGTCACTTGAAAGTAATTTGAAGTGTTCCTTATGTGACAGTCTTTATGCAGTTCTTTATAACTAGTGTTTCATACTGTAACTTATTTTGTTTCTTTCCAAAGGGGACAGAAAAAATCAGTGTTATCAGTATAGAGTAAAATTTCCTAATGATAGTAATTATTAGTGGGGATAATAAATTGTAAAATGCAAATGTTTAAATTTTTTTTTTTTAAACAGGTTTATGGAAAACCTTCAAACTGAGGTCTTGGAAATTGAGTTTAATGAATTTTCAAAGGGACTGCCAGCTATCACAGAGTTAGATTTTGCCAAAATCTTGCTTCGTTACACCTACCTTCAGTCTGACCAGTAGGTATATTATGTTACTTTTAACATATCTTGTAAACAAAAATGGTTTAAAATCCCTATTTTGATCATTTTTATTTTGTATAAAATTGTTTTATATGTTTAGGTTTGACTGTTTGCTGTCATGTGAATATAATGTGTAGAGTTGAATATAATTTCTTTTAATCCCTTTACTGTCCTAACGTAGTTTTACGTTTTCCCTGCCAGCATTTCAAATATTTTAAAAAATAAAGAGAGCAGTTTTCTGTGTAATAAGATAAAAAAAAAATTTGGGCCAGTACTTACTGAGATATAAGGCCGCGAAGTTGGCACTGGATGGTCACGTGACAGCCACATGGAGTACTGCCGCTTGCAGAAATATTGCAGATACATATATCATTTTTCCCGTTTTTTTCTTAGTTTTTATGACGTGATAATTATGTTTTATAGTAGATTTTTTTATTTCAAAGCCAGTTGCTGTTCAAACACAAATTTTAGGTACAGAAATAATACTCATACTGTCACAGTCGCACCTATTTCAGTCATACTATTGTCTGCAGCTACAACTTTAACTCGCCTAGCAACGTACAGTGGTCCCTCGCTTTTCGTAGTTCTCGGCAATCGTAAATTTCGCCAATCATAGGGGTATTTTCGTATAAACATGGACTCGCTTTTCATAGGTTGACTCGCGAATAGTAGTTCGTCCGGGACACGTGTGCACGGTGTGAGCCGGGGCGGCCTCCCTACCCAGTCAGTCTGGCATTGTTTACCAGTGAGTGAAGGTCCCCTCAAGTGCTCCTACGAAATATTTCATAATATTCCACTCATTTTAGTGCTTGCAATTACTAATTAAGCTACCATGGCTCCAAAGAAAGCTCCTAGTGCCAAGCCTGTGGTAAAGAAGGTGAGAAATATGTACAGTGACAAAGTCTTGGGCCATTTTCGGGAAGTGTTAAAGAGACGCCAGAAACAGAGCTCTCTCCACAGTTACTTTGCGAGACAGGACTAGAGTGACTCTCAAGGTGGTCCTAGTGGCATTAAGAAACAGAGAAGAGAAGCAACCCCAGAGAAGCAATTGGTACCTGAGGTGTCGCTGGAAGGGGATTCCCCTTCCAAACTGTAAACAATCCAATCTCTCTCCTCTTCCAGTCTCCCATACACTAAGAAGAATCTCCAATAAAGGTAAGTGTTATGCTGTTAATGTTTCATTCATCATTTCCCATTGTATTGTTTTTGTACTATATGTATATTTCATGTAAAAAATTTTTTTGTTTTAATACTTCTGGGTGTCAGGAACGGATTAATTGTTATTTACATTATTTCTTATGGGGAAAACTGATTCGCAAATCGTAAATTTTGTTTATAGTAACGGCTCCAGGAACGGATTAATTACGAAAAACGAGGGACCACTGTACTCGTTTACCAATGACTCAGACGTACAATGGGCTCTCTGACCAGTATGCATACCTAAATAATGTATATTAAAATTGATTTCCTCTATTCTGTTTATTACAATATACAGTACACTGCTGTATAAACATTTAAAAGTATACCATAAATGTTATAAATGGAGCAAAGGTGACATGAAAACAATATCAAAGATGGTTGACGCAAACCCACTACCATTACAATATGCTCCTCACTTAGCGACGAATTCGTTTACCAACGTGTTCTTAGGAATGGAACTCCATCATTAAGTAAGGAGAGTCTGTATATGCAAGTTTCTTAAAGGTCCCAGCAATGTTTTTAAAAGTCTTGGATTATATGAAACTCCATGAAGCACAGATTCATACAGAGTGCCGGCCCTATATTGCTGACACATGAATCATGTGTTCTTTCGCTCTTGGGGTCGCCTTGTGGTGTGAGCACACACACTACACTTTTTCTGAGGATATTTCTTTTTAGGGTAAAAGGTAGCTGTGTCAGGAAGTGACAGTTAGTGAGGATTTGCTCTGGCACTTCCTCTGGATGTGGCTGAGGGATGTCGCTTTAAGGGGCAGGTACAAGTGTGACATTATACTTTTGTACTATCTGTTTTATGACATTGAAGGTGAATTCTGCATAGTAAAGTCATTTCCCAGTCTTTATTTGATACATATTAATGGTATTAACCATTGCAGTGTCTACAAAGTGGAGGAATACTTTCATGTACCACTTGCGACTCCTATGCTTACAATCAACGAACCCTATTTGCATGTCACACTCATCAACTAGTCACATATTGTTTGTATAGTTGACAACAGCAGCTGGCTTTACAATGCATTCATTGGCGTCCCTGTTCACTTTGTACCATCTCATGTCTGTGGATGGTTGACAGCAGTGTCATGTCCTGGTGTCACTGGCCTGAAACGCTTGCATTGCACCATCAACACTGCTTCCATTGAACCTTGGCATATGTTTTCCGTGTCTTCTCACTGTTTCACGTATATCAGTACAGTCTCTCCTCACTTAGCGACGTACTCGTTTACCAACGACTCAGACTTACGACGGGCTCTCTGACCAGTATGCATACCTAAATAATGTATATTAGAGCTGATTTCTTCTTTTCTGTTTATAACAACATACAGTACACTACTGTATAAACATTTAAAAGAATATACTAACAATGTTATATATGATGCAAGGGTGACATTAAAGCAATATCAAAGATGGTTGACATAATCCCACTATCATTATAGCATATTCCTCATTTAGCAATAATTTCGTTTACCAATGTGGTATTAGGAACGGAACTCTGTTGTTAAGTGAGAGGCTGCATTATTCACATGGAGGAAATCAGTGAGCATAGAGCTTGTATACCAGTTGTCTGTGAAGAATGTATGACCCTTGCCATGGTATGATTCCATCATCTCATGAACAACATCACCAGAAATGCCCAACATTCGCCTGGTATCGTCGAGTATGTTACTTCTATGCAGACAATGACATCCAATACTGTGCCACTTTCACAATCAAACAACAAAAGTTTTATACCACAGTGATTACGTTTTCTCGGTACATATATTGTTTGAAAGACAGTCGTCCCTTGAACAGAATCAAGGACTCGTCGACAACAATGTTCCTGAAGGGATAAAAGTAAGCACTGAATTTTTACTTCAGATACATAAACACATACAGAATTTTGTATAGTAGATCATTTCTGTTGGGTCTGTTACTGTCTGAGAGGTGCAGCATTCATAGCAACAGCATGAATCTGTTGCAGGGAGGTCACAGAAGACTGGAGTACTGAGGAAGTAGTCTGTGGACCAGTACTGTGCTATAATGTTCCTATATGTATGAGATATAAGCATGACAGTGCCAAGCAATGAATACATTTTGCTCATAGTTGTATCTTTCCACCTGTGCAGCTGTGACGATTCCGCAGCTTTTATGTTGTCCATTATATAGCAGTAGCAATTGTTTATGTGGGTTATGATCAGGTTCATGTTGGAGAAGTCAAAGCATAGTTGGAAATACTCTTAACTCTATGGACTCATCCATGATAGGACATTCTGGGAGGATGCCATTTCCATTGCCATGGCACAAATTTTGTAATGTACATTCTTTCCAATTCCATGCATGGTCTGATGGTGCATCATGGACCTGTGGCATGAAACATGGTGGAGGGACAGGAGTGGAGGTGGCACATGGTGGACTGAGTGTCTGGTCGGCCCTTTGTCTATCCGCCCAGCACGCCATGTGGCCCAGGCACCATGCCACCCCCCTCCTCCTCCTCCCTTGCATATCCCCTTCATGATTAGTATCACTATCAGTGGCTGGAGTTTTTGATCATGACCTCCTGTGGCCCTTGGGGATTGCATATGGCACACTGCCTGAACAGAGGCAATGATGCCTAAAGGTACACTTCACTGGGGAATAATGTATATCTCTGTCACTTGAAGAATCTCCTAAGGGCATAAAATCAATCTTAGTCACTTACATCACTTTCACTATCATCATCATCATCATCAAAACTATGAGAAAATGTTAATTTTGCTAGACCCTCAGCCCAGTACCTCTGGGTGCTGAGCTGAGGGTCTGGTGTGGCCATACTGGCCACTCCGGAGGTGCTAGGCTGAGGGTTTGGTGTGGCTACTGCCCATGCTGGCCACCCCAGATGTGATGGGCTGAAGGTTATCTGGGTTATCATCAATATTTACAGTATTTCCTCAATCATTTGTGGCCACATGTCTTAGATCCACTAAACTTCAGTTCTTTATCACTTCCTCGAATAAGAGTGTTGATACAACGGGTCGTGAGTGAATCCTGGGGGTTTGCCGTGATGTTGACCCAAGCTGATGCTGAAACTAACTGGTGCTCCCATGTGGTACTGTGGGGTCCCTGATTTTTTTTTTTAATGCTGCACACATTGAATGCGCCAACGCGTTCTCTCATGTCTAGGCCTCTCAGACCTATTGTGCCAAATTTGAAGGCAGGAAAAAATGATACATCGCTTTACATTTGGAGCGCTAGTGGTAAGAATGTAGAACTACATTTGGGCAGTTAAAGGATTAATATATTTAACTTTAAATATTCTCTACTCACTTTTCTGTATACTGTACAGTATAATTTTTACTGGTCATCTGTGACTTACAAGTGATTATATTGGTCAACTATATCTCTGGTTCTGTGAATTTTGGGATGGTTTACTAATTTTATTTTTTCAAAATTATTAAATTTGATCACCTGAATTTAACTACCAATATAATGTGAGACTTTCTGTTGTGATTCAGGCCCACAAAGCGGATGTCCAGGTGATAGTAAATACTTGCATATTTCTCTAATAATTACACCCCACAGTTGCACTCTGGATACTAAGTCCTCAGCCTTCATAGACAGTAACTTCAGATCTGCAGTAGTTTTTTGTAACAAGTTTACAGTATACTGTATTCATTATTGGATGAATTTTACTCGTATTTCTGGAAGTGTTTTTTTTTTTATGGAAAAAGAATACCGTATATTTTTTTCCAGTTTAAAGTTCCAACAAGAGTGCACAAGGGCTTCAGAATGTTTACAGTGAGATTCTTCATCTTGTCAGGCTTCAA